GCATTATTTCTATCACCAAGGCCAAATTTTCCAACTACCGGCAATTCTTCTTTGTTTCCAACTTTGGCATTCCAATCACCAGTGATAATCAGCACATCTTGATTGCATGTTTGGTCAATTTCAGACTGCAGAAGTTGGTAAAAATCTTTAATTTCCTCATCTTTGGCTTTGGTGTTTGGTGCTTAAATCTGAATAATAATGGTATTAACCAGTCTTCCTGTATGCATATGGCTATTATCCTATCACTGACAGCATTGTACTTCAGGATAGATCTTGAAACATTCTTTGTGATGATGAATGTCATGCAATTCCTCTTCAATTTGTCATTCCCAGCATAGTAGATCATATGGTTGTGTGATTCAAAATGGCCAAATTTGGTCCATTTTAGCTCACTAATGCCTAGGATATTGATCTTCATGTGTCCCATTTCATTTCTGAAAACTGCCAATTTTCCTAGATTCATACTTCATACATTACACGTTCCATTTATTAATGGATCTTTGCAGCTGTTTCTTCTCATTTTGAGTCATGCCACATCAGCAAATGGAGGTCCCAAAAGCTCTACTTTATTCCCATCATTAAGGTCAGCTCTACTCTGATGAGGTAGCTCTTTTCCAGTCATAATTTGAGTGCCTTCCTACCTGAGGGGCTCATCTTCTGGCACTGTATCAGACAGTGTTTCAAGACTATTCATAAAGTTGTCCAGTAATATATCAGACAGTGTTTCACTGCTATTCATAAGGTTTTCTCTGGCCAATTCTTTGAGAAATGGATGGCCTCTTCCTTCTTCCAAGTCTGTCTGGAAGCTCCACTGAAACTTGTGCACCTTGGGCACAATCCTGCTGGCATTTGAAAAACCTGTGTGGCACAGCCTCAAGCCTCACAGCAACATGCAAGCCACCACAGTACAAGAAACTGACAGACAAGTTCATCACTCTTAGTTGTTCCAAACCATTCCTCTCACTTCCTGGCCTTCCCCCTACCTGTTCTGGCCATCCACCCTGGCTGCCGCTTCCTGCCTGGGGACTCCCCCCATTACCTGTTCTGGCCGTCTGGCCTGGCTGCCGCTTCCTGCCTTGGGGCTTTCCCCTTACTTGTTTTGGCAGGCTGCCCTAGCTGCCCGAGTGACCCTATGTTGTTGTTGTTGTTATGTGCCATCGAGTCGGCCCCGACTCATAGCGACCCCTCCTTGGGTTTCCGAGCAGTATCACTATGGAAGTAGGATTGCCCAACCTTCCTTCCGAGGAGTGGCTGGTGGGTTTGAACCGCCAGCCGTCTGGTTAGCAGGCAAGTGTCTTAGCCACTATGCTACCAGAGCTCCCAGAGTGACCCTATAGGACAGAGTAAACTGCCCCATAGGGTTTCCAAGGCTGTAAATGTTTATAGAAGCAGACTGCTACATCTTTCTCCTGTACAGCAGCTGGTAGGTTCCAACCACTGAGCTTTTGATTAAAGCAGCAAGTGCTTTAACCACTGTGCCAAAGGACTCCTAAATTATGTAATCACTACATTATTGTTGAATTGCTGAATTGTTTATCATTTGTTCTTGTTCCAATATGGGGGAAAAAGTGGCTTTATATTAACAAACATACAAAATTGAAC